CCCTCAGGAGCTGAAGCTGTCGCAGCGTCCGGGAAAGCGTCGGTGGGTGAGAAGCAGCAGCCCTCCCCAGCTGGGGACAGGGAGGAGCTGACCAAGGATGAGATCCTGCAGAAGAACCGAGAGGAATTCTTCAGGAGACACATCAAAGCAGGAGAGAAGTCCAGGTGGGGAAGCACGGCACGCTCAGTCTAGCCATGCTTCAAACCTGGTGTCCCTCAGCCACAGCAGAGTCTCTCCTTCCCTTGGGGAAGTCAGACCTTGCTTTCCTGGTATTTATTTCCTTTTTCCTAATTTTTCTGCTTGCTGGAAAGACTGGGAGAGGACATACTGGGGGCCCTGGGGGGTAACTGAGCCTGAGCCCTTCTCAGGAAGACCCAGAAATCCCTGGAGAGGTCCAGACTTCTCCTTGCTGAGGCTTCCTCACTGTGAGCAGCAGCACATCACCACCTGGATAAGGTGAAGCCATCTGACACAGGGTGAAAGTAGAGATTAACTCCAGACTGAACCTGCCAAATTTAGCCTTAATTTCTGCTTTTTTGGGTAATCTAGGCTCTTAATTCTCACCATTTCCAAGGAAGTAATCCCTGCAGCTTCACTGCCCCCAGCAAAACCTGTCTCTGCTTTTCATTCCAGCAAGTCCCCAAAGCCTGAGGCACAGAAGGAGAAGGGCAAGAAGCCCCGAGTGTGGGACCTGGGGAACTCTAATGCCAAAGTGCTGGATTACAGCAACCCCGCTACCAACGGGAGCGCCGAGGCCTGTCCAAGGTGTCGCAGCGTCCGGGAAAGCGTCGGTGGGTGAGAAGCAGCAGCCCTCCCCAGCTGGGGACAGGGAGGAGCTGACCAAGGATGAGATCCTGCAGAAGAACCGAGAGGAATTCTTCAGGAGACACATCAAAGCAGGAGAGAAGTCCAGGTGGGGAAGCACGGCACGCTCAGTCTAGCCATGCTTCAAACCTGGTGTCCCTCAGCCACAGCAGAGTCTCTCCTTCCCTTGGGGAAGTCAGACCTTGCTTTCCTGGTATTTATTTCCTTTTTCCTAATTTTTCTGCTTGCTGGAAAGACTGGGAGAGGACATACTGGGGGCCCTGGGGGGTAACTGAGCCTGAGCCCTTCTCAGGAAGACCCAGAAATCCCTGGAGAGGTCCAGACTTCTCCTTGCTGAGGCTTCCTCACTGTGAGCAGCAGCACATCACCACCTGGATAAGGTGAAGCCATCTGACACAGGGTGAAAGTAGAGATTAACTCCAGACTGAACCTGCCAAATTTAGCCTTAATTTCTGCTTTTTTGGGTAATCTAGGCTCTTAATTCTCACCATTTCCAAGGAAGTAATCACTGCAGCTTCACTGCCCCCAGCAAAACCTGTCTCTGCTTTTCATTCCAGCAAGTCCCCAAAGCCTGAGGCACAGAAGGAGAAGGGCAAGAAGCCCCGAGTGTGGGACCTGGGGAACTCTAATGCCAAAGTGCTGGATTACAGCAACCCCGCTACCAACGGGAGCACCGAGGCCTGTCCTGCCGAGGAGTTTGACCCTGACAGAGTGAGGAGCAGCTGGGGGTGTTGAGGGCTCAGCTGGGTGTTGCAAACCCAGCCCAGTCTCCACAGCTGGCTGAGGAGGAGCGAGACATGGGGAGGGAAGCATCCAGCCCCAAAATCTCTGGCCAAAAAGGTCTCTCCAACAGTGCTGGCTGCAGCTAGAGCGAGTTGGGGGGTCAAACCACAGATCCCCCATGGAGCTGCTAACATTCACTGTGGGCAGGGGGAGAGGAGGGTCAGTGGTTGCTGATCCTCAGGGTATGTCTTTTTTCCTTGCAGGCCCTGGGGGATCGAAATCGGGAGCCCGGCCGCCTCTATGACCTTGAGTATGAGAGCGAGGATGAAGCTGAAGAGGAGAAGGTTCTTCAGAACCCTTCAAAACCCAGGTAGAGGCTCCTGCAGCCCCCACTGCTTGATTTCTCATGTGCAACTTTTCTTCTAGTCTAACCAGTAACATAGCAGGGGCAAATTAGTGTTTGTGGTGGGCTCTTCTTGCATCTTCTCACTCCTTGAACCCTGAGGTAGCTCTTCTGCTTCTCCATAGTGCGAAGAAGGGTGGCCTGGGGGGCATGTTTGGCATGCTGAAAGGTCTGGTGGGCTCCAAGAGCTTGACCAGGGAGGACATGGACCCGGTGCTGGAGAAGATGAAGGATCACTTGATCGGTAGGTCTGGATTTGCTGTGAGTGGGCTAGTGTTGAGGTGGTTCCCAGCAGGTCCTGGTGTGGGACAGCACCCATGGTTTGGGCTGTTCTTGCCCACAGGAACCACACGTAACCTCGGTGGCAGTGCTGGCTGACCTTTCTCTTCTCTCTTAAAGCTAAAAACGTGGCAGCAGAGATCGCAGTCCAGCTCTGCGAGTCCGTGGCCAAGAAACTGGAAGGGAAGGTGATGGGAACATTCACCAGTAAGTAGCCGTGTGGCTTCTTCCCTGTGCTGTGGGGCTCAGGAGTGTTCCCCAGGCGTGATGGGTTCTCTCCATCTCCTCCTTCCCAGCGGTGACCTCAACAGTGAAGCAGGCCCTGCAGGAGGCTCTGGTGCAGATCCTGCAGCCCCAGCGCCGCGTTGACGTCCTGCGCGATGTCATGGACGCCCAGCGCCACCGCCGGCCCTACGTGGTGACCTTCTGCGGCGTCAACGGTGTCGGGAAGTCCACCAACCTGGCCAAGGTAGGCACCGTCCTGGCTGTCCAGGAGCAGCGCTGCAGTCGGACTGAGGCTGCTAACAGGGCTTATTTGATCTCTGGCCACCTCCAGATCTCGTTCTGGCTTATCGAGAATGGTTTCAGTGTCCTCATCGCGGCCTGTGACACCTTCCGGGCGGGGGCGGTGGAGCAGCTCCGCACCCACACGCGTCGCCTCAACGCGCTGCACCCCCCGGAGAGCCACGGCGGGAGGACCATGGTGCAGCTCTACGAGAAGGGCTATGGCAAGGACGCCGCCGGCATCGCCATGGAGGCCATCTCCTATGGTTGGTGGGAAGACTGCTGGTGGGGGACATGGATGGAGGAACGTCCCACTGACTGTTGTCTCCTCATCTTCCCAGCTCGGAACCAGGGCTTCGACGTGGTGCTGGTGGACACGGCGGGTCGCATGCAGGACAACGCGCCCCTGATGACGGCCTTGGCCAAACTCATTGCTGTCAATGCTCCTGACCTGGTCCTGTTCGTTGGGGAAGCGCTGGTGGGGAACGAGGCTGTGGATCAGCTGGTGAGCATCTTTTCCTGAAGGGTTGAGGGCGGGAGTTGGGGGAAAAACATTTCCATTGGGACCATCCTGGATCTGTTCTCTCCCTCAGGTCAAGTTCAACAAGGCCCTGGCTGATCACTCCATGGCCCAGACGCCGCGGCTCATCGACGGGATCGTCCTCACCAAGTTCGACACCATCGATGACAAGGTAAGGAGGCCTTTGGGACAGCTCAGTCTGGAGCTTCCTGCTGGTGTCTGGAGTGGGAGAGACAAGAATTCTCCAATGCAAGGTGCTTCCATGCTGTCCTCCACTTTTCTCTTGCACTTAAGCCATTTAATATTTAGCAGTTGGATTTTCATGGGGAAAGTAGGGATCAGGAAAACCTGGAGGAAGCTGAATAGAATCAGACCCACAGAATGTCAGAGGTTGGAAGGGACCTCTGAAGGAAGGTTGAGTCCAACCCCCTGCCAGAGCAGGCCCAAAACTAAGATCACTCAGAAAGGCATCCAGACAGGTCTTGAAAGTCTCCAGAGAAGGAGACTCCACAACCTCTCAGGGCAGCCTGTCCCCTGGCTCTGTCACCCTCACAGGAAAGAAGTTCTTCCTCATGTTGAGGTGGAAATTTCTGTGTTTGAGTTTGAATCCATTGCACCTCATCCTGTCACAGGGCACAGGTGACAAGAGGTTGTTTCTGCATTCTTGATGCCCTCATGTATTTGTAGGCATTCATTAGATCCCCACTTAGTCTTCTCTCCAGACTGAACAGCCCCAGGTCTCTCAGCCTTTCCTCATATGACAGATGTTCCAGTCCCTTCATCATCCTTGCAGCCTCTGTTGGACTCTCTCCAGTAGATCCCTGTCCCTCTTGAACTGGGGAGCCCAGAACTGGACACAACATTCCAAGTGAGGTCTCACCAGGGCTGAGTAGAGGGGGAGGAGAACCTCCCTTGATCGGCTGGAGACTCCTCTTAATGCACCCCAAGATACCATTGGCCTTTTTGGTCACAGGGACACATTCTTGTCTCATGGAGAACTTATTGTCTACCAGGACTCCAACATCCTTCTCCATGGGCCTGCTCTTTATCAGATCACCTCCTAATCTGTACCTGATGAGCTTTTTTTCCACACGTTCCTCTGAGCTGGATTTGCAAGTTTAAGGGATGTTTCTTGTCCTCGACAGGTGGGAGCTGCCATCTCCATGACCTACATCACGAGCAAGCCCATTGTTTTTGTTGGTACTGGACAAACCTACTGTGATCTGCGAAGCCTTAACGCCAAGGCCGTGGTTGCAGCGCTCATGAAGGCCTGAAGAGGAAACCACATCCACCAAATTGCTGTTTGCAGATGGCCGAGAAGAACATGCTTTAGTCTTTCCCGTGTAGTGCAGGACAGAAGGAAGGGACACTGGTGTGAGGGGTGGGGTTTTTTGTTTCTTTTTTTTGAGAAAAGCTCTTGTACCCTCCCCCTGGGTTCCTTCCTTCTGTTGGAAGTGACACAGGCTCCCTCGTGGGAAGGCTGAACCCAGAGCTTTGTATTCTTGGTGCTGCACGGAGCAGGGGCCACGCAAGGACCTGCTGGGCTTTTTGGGGAGTTGGAAGGTGATTTTTTTGAGCTGCTTTTGATTTATCTTTTAAGACCAGCTTAGGGAGACTTTTGTGTCAAGAGGTGAGCAGGAGCGAGTGAGATGTGGCTGCTCATGTCACTGCTGGTGGCAGCTCCACCGAAGCTGATAAACCAAAAATGGGCTGGGAGGGGAGATGCTAAATTGCCTTAAGGTCCTTGTTTCTGTCGGCGCTGGGACACTGGAGCAGGGTACCTGGAGCAGAGCTGGAGAGCTGCAGCACCTTGGTCCCTAATCATGGCCCTGTCTCCTCTTCTTTGCTAGTAAAAAGGAGGAAGAAAAAGAAAGAAAATACTGGAAGATGATGGTTGCTTCTTGCTGCTTTCCTGCACCCTTTCTCCAACCCCTCGAGTGCCTCTGGAAGTGCTACACTGAGTAATACAAACCTCTCTCTGGTGTCTTGTAGCTCTGTATTGCAGATGTGCTCTAGTGCAATAAATCAAATGCTGTCTGCTAAGAGACATAATTTATATAAAATAAACTTCATAATTTGTTCTCTGTGTATAAATAACTTGTCTCCAGCCAGGATGTGTTTCCTCTTTTTTTGGGGGAGGGTTGACAAGCTCCTGCCCCCATGTAGAGGGTGTGTAAATCACACACCAGCCCAAGGTGGAGTGAACAGGCCTTTAATCCAAGCTGTGACATACAAAAGTAGAAAGACAGGACTAGAAAACTAGAGCTTTAAGTTAAAAAAAAGAAAGCTCAAGTTTCAAGTTTTTTTTAATGGAAAGTACAGAATACAAAAGCACTAAGTATGAAATTAGAGGCTGCAGCTCCCCCAGGGTGACCATGCTCCCCGGGTGCATGGAACAAGGCAATCCAACATCAAACCAGCCTTCTTATCTGTCTGTCTGTTCATCTGAGGAGGCTCCAGCTGGTGCCTGAGGTGTCCCCACGGCTGGAAGCGTCGGCTCTGCCCTGGGGTGGGAGCTCTAGGAGTTCCCCTGGTATGGGCACAGCTCTTGGAAGAGGCCGGTGCTCAAGTGCTGCCTCCTGGGGGAACGGAAAGGCTCTGCAAACCTGCCGGGGAATCCACGGAGCTCCTGGCGGCTCGTGGAGGGGCTGGAAAGGGTGAAACCTCTCAGCTGGGGAGGGTCTCACCTTTCATCTCGCCAGTGGAGCCATTCAGCTGCTGTCCTTCCTTGGGCACACCTAGGAGAGAGGAAGGATGGGGGGACAGGTGTTCTGGGAAGGCTCTGATGAGCAAACCTGCTTCTCTCCCCCATTTTTATGATTTATTAGTGAGGTCTCATGAACATTAAAGGTTTAGCTCAGGCTGAGGAACATGAAGGTCAACAAGACTGAAATGCCCTTTCACTACACAGGGAATAAAACAATGGTAGCTGCACATGATGTTGGCATGTGAGAGAGCTGCTTAAACCATCAGAACATACAGGGATTTCATCCAAACAGCCCCCAAATCCAGCTGCACTTGCAGACAATTTTTTTGGGGAAACAAAAAAAGCTTAAAGATTAATACAGCCCAGAGAACTGGGGCTATTAACCCTGTCCACACTCCAAAACTCACAGTGACTGTAACAAACAGTGTGAGGGGATCCCTGAGGTGACTGGGGACAGAGGGCACATCAGATCACCCTGTGCAGCCCGTGTCCCCCCTGTACCTGCGGGGCCCCGCGTGGTGATCTCACTCGCCAGCCTCTCAAAGTACTCGGGCAGGTCAGCATATTCGTCTCCATAGGAAATGACTTTAATCCCTTTGTCCAGCATGTTCTCCCGGAGCTTCTTGAACTCGTCCACGTCTCCCCTCCTCACCAGCATGAAGTGCTCCAGGTCTGACTTGTGCTTCACAGCCTCTAAAAACAGGGCCTGAAACGTGGTGTCATCAACAGTCCAACCACAGCCCAAGAACAGGAATGACTTATTCTCATACAACTTCTGAATCTCTCGCTTTAAAAAAGGGAAAGATGTTCTTCGTCAAGGTTTTATCTCCACAAGATACAAGATACAGAATATGCCTGATCACTGGGGAGACTCTGCCCCCGTTTAACTGTCCTCAACTCAAGTGTGGGAAGAAGACAAGAGGAAATGGCCTCAAGTTGCACCAGGGGAGGTTTAGGTTGGATTTTAGGAACAATTTATTTACAGAAAGAGTGGTTAGGCCTTGCAACAGGCTGCCCTGGGAAGTGGTGAACTCACCATCCCTGGAGGTGTTAAAAAAATGTGTAGACATAACACTTGGGGGACATAGTTTAGTGGGAATGGTGGTGGACTTATGGCTGGATGTAGATGATCTTGTCCATAGAATCTTAATGATTCTATGAGGTGTTTTGGCAGCTTAGAGGGCTGGAGAATCCATCCCTCCTATCCCACAAAATTAGGGACTGTCCCACCACCCCGTGTGAAGCCTGGTCTTTATCTCAGCCAGTCAGCTGTGATGGAGATGAACATGGGAGATGAACAATGCAGAGCCCAGGCCTGCCTGGGCAGGGGCAGCTGCCTCACCATGACCTCGGTGTTGCGCAGCACGTTCTGGTAGCCAGCCGGGTGCAGCACGATGCCGCTGGGGTTGGTGTACACGCCGTGGATGTGCAGGACACTCAGCTTCCTCTTCTCCTGTGCCCACTCCAGCACCTGCACAAAACCAAAACCCCTCCAGAAAGCTTAGATGTTAAAAAATACCAGTTTGGGGGCAACCTTTCAAAGAAGCAGCTTCCTTCTCATGTCTGAAGAGGTCTTGAATCCATCACCCTCTACATTACAGGCTATGGAGCTTGTTTGGGTCAATGTTTAGAGGAAGAGACCAACTCAGTACAATGGAGTCAGCAGAAAACAGGGAAAAGCTCTATAAATACTACATCAGCATATTTCTTAGCCTACAAAGTTTTATTTCTTTGCCTCTCCAGGGTCTGAGAAGCTCTGAGGGAGCTCAGCACTTGACCTTCATTCAGCCACTTGTGAGGCTCTCAGTTTACTCCTGCAGACCTCAGCTCGTTTAAGCTTGCAATAATTAGAATGCTGATTTGGAACAGGGTAAGTACTTCCAGCCACACAGATTAAGAGGTCACACAGGAAACGTGAAGCGCAGAAATGAGTCGGAATGGAAAGAGACCAAGTTCTGGTCAGCACCTACACGTGGTGTGTGTTTAACAAGCAGACCGAAGGACAAGACCCACCAGTGGCAAAGAGCTGGGGTGTCACAGTCTGATTTTTTTCCCGACTGCAGACCTGGGGCAGGAGTGGGGAAACTCCCAGCTCCAAATGCAGCAGAACAAGCTTGAGCACATGGAGCAACCCAGTAGGAGCCATCCAGCCCTTTCAGGAAGAGGACACAGGGTGAGGAGGAAGCCTCGAGGCCCTGGGAAGGCACAAAATTGCTCGGCAGCAAACTGTAAAAATAGACAGGTCATCTTTGTGCCTTGCATGGAACTTCTGTGTCAGTGTCAACACAAACCTGATGTGGAACTGGGGCCTGTGGTATGTCAGTAAGGCTAAGGCAGGAGTTTCAAGGACAGAGATCAAAGAAATATCAAGCTTAAGGGCTCCTCCTGAGCAGTGGATGTCAGCTAGCAAGCACAGCAGGCTGGAAACGAGCGTTTGTCTTCATTCCTCTGACTGCTGCCCCAAATGCTCAGAGCCTCTGCTCGGAGCTTGTTTAATATCAAATAAAGAGTACAATCCCCTTACACAGGCATGAGAGCCACTGTCCTGCATTGTCCCAGCTCAGCCCTGAGAAATAAAATAATCATAATTTACCTTCTTTTCATCCGTCAGGTCAAGAGACTCCAGATGCTTCCCCTGATGTGCTGCGTACAGTTCCAGCAGGTTATCAAAGTTTGTGGTTAGCACCAGTGCCCCATTTTCCATCAAGTGAAGCACAGACTGGAGCAGCTGCTTCCCAGAATCTTCCATCTTTGATTCCAGGTCATCAAACACCTCGTACAAACAGTCTTTGAAAAAGGTGGAACGGACGTTGCTTGTGCGCTGAGAGGGCAGAGAGGAAAGGTCAGAGCTTGGCTTCTTTTAGCGCCTTGTGCGTTGAGTCCCCATGTATTGTTGGAAGATCTCCACAAGGCTTTGGTGGGTTCTGCCCTCCCAGCACACTCTGAGTGAAATACCCCAGAATCTGGTGTTCAGGGCTAAGTTATGATTCAGGAACCCAGCACAGTAACTGCACTGGTGGTTCCTTGTAGCCAGAGGAACCGTTGGAGACAGGGGGGCATGTTGGAGAACCACATTTGGGATATTTCCAAAAGTACAATCCTCTGCTCAGGGCTGGGTATGGAATATTTACTACAAGGACACTCACCGGAGACAGCTTCTGGATAAGGTCATGGGCAACATGAACCAAGTTCTTGTCTTCATGGAGACACTTTTGAAAACGTTTGCTCTCTTCATCTTCCAGGAGATCAAAGTCAATAGCAGCGTCCAGGAGGGCCTGGATTAACCCCTTCCAAGACTTCAGTGCTGGGACCTGGGGAGCAACCGCTGCGCTGATTCCCGTCCCGATCACCAGCACAAGTTCCTGGGGCTTCTTGGTTTTGAGGCTTGGCAACAGCTTCCTGCAAGAGGAGAAAGGAGCCCATCACAGAGGGAAGGACTTCTTGGCTGGTAGAACGGGCAGTCTGAGTACAAAGGTACCTTCTGCCTAAATTTTGAATCAATGTGTCCATTAGGGTCCTCTGATAACCAGAGGATGAGGGGAACAGCTCAGTGTCCTGAGGACAGTCCAGCTCCATGGATCACCATCTCAAATTCCCAGTTACAAGGTAGGTTGTTACTACACATTTGGCAACTGTGTTTGTTACCGAGCCTGTTACTGTGGAAGCCAATACCCCCCCCTTGGAATGCTTCTGAAGCTGAATTAATCCAATTCAAGTTTGGAATAAGGGAGGTATTGTTCATGGTAGTTACCTGGAAGCTGGCAGAAAGGCTGGAAACAGAGGCAGGGTGGGGGGAACAGTGTGGGATGTCACCCATGGCTGCACACACATTAGGCACCGAGGTGCAGTGGTGTAAAGGTGCCAAACAGGACTGAAGCCAGCAGGGCCAGTTATCCCAGCATAAAGAGAAGGGTGGGATGCCTTCCTCCCAGTGCTGCCCTGGAGAGACCCTTCCAGACCCCTCCATGAAACACTGCTGCCCCAGGAATTCCTTCCTTGTCACCCCTGCAGCATCAGTGGGAGGTTCCAGGCCAATCTTTGGGAAGGCCAGACAACCCAAAGGGTCTCATGAAAGAGCTGTGGGGCTACATTCTCCTTTCTCCTCCTCCCTTCTTCCTTATTTTCCTTACTGACACCTGCACTCTGCTTTGAAATTATTAATTTGTTAGATGTGCTTCTCCCCACCATGTCTTGCCTGGGGTCAAGCTGCTTTTCTCAACCAGCTGCAGGCTCCTGGAGGATGGAAGCAGCAGCCCAGGGAGGTAGGAATGTTTTTGATCTGCAAACATGTGATATTTAACCAGAAGGGGAAAGGAAACCACCACCACACAGATGCAGCTTTGCCTCCCCCAGCTCCTGCCTACAAAAACAGATGAGTTTTCTTGAGTAGGTTAGTGGGTTTTAATTTTGGGGGTGCAAGCCTCACCCACATGGAATAAATTAATATTTGTGCTAATGAGCTAGTCCAAAAACACAACCAGAAACCTAGGGACTGAAATACAAAAGAACATCAAATACCCAAGTCTTAAAGCCCTGTGTGACAGCTCTGAAGAAGGCATTCTGTTCCCACGCTGATAAACACACTTGTTTCTACCCTGATACCCTGAGCAAGGGAAAAATGATCTCCTAGCCTCTTTTCTGCTCCTCCCACACTCACTGGAACCCTCAGAGCAGGGATCCCTCACAGGAACTCCTGCCCTCCATAACTTGTAAATAAATCAGGTTAGTGGAAGGCAACTGCCTTGATGAATGAGCTGCTGGTTTGCAGGCCACAATGCCTTAATTTTGGAGCCTGTGCAGCAGCAGCCATAGCTCCAGCCCTGATTGTCACCAGTTAGTGTCCTGCTTGGCTCCCCACTTGGAGAACTGCAGGACAGCCTACTTCTTAGGATGGGGAGACTCCAGAGTGGAATTATTTAGCCTTTACATGCAGCAAAATGGTATTAATTGGAATAAGTGCCCATCCTCCTGGGAACTGGTGTCCAACTCAAGCAAAGAAGCACAATCACCGCACCCAAGGTCCCACTCCTACATGTGGAGCTGAGCTAAAACCATGGAAAAAACTTCCATGCAAACAAGCATCCTGGCTCAGGGGTTAGAAAAACCCCAGCAATCCAGTACCTTTTGGATGTTTTAAGGCCTTTTTTGTTCCACACACTGCAGGAAAATACCAGTTAGGGAGCAGCAACTGGAAGGACGCTGGGGCTGGGTGCCAAGCGTCGGGCTCTTGAGGAACAATGCAAGGTTACAGTAAAAGCTCGTTAGAAGAAATTCACTGGAGTATCATTCAAGTTACCTGGGCTTTTTTGCAGGTGGCATTCCATCTTCCAACAATGTATCTTTACCCAGGCTCACCGTAGAAGCCATCCAGTTTCTCTAATAGACAAATCACCACAAGCAAAGTCACTACATGCATGCAACACACAGGGAGCAGACTGCAGGGTTTTGTCCAGCCAGCTTCCCAAAGGCAGATAAACACTGGGGTTTGTTATCTTTATGAGATCACCTTTGGGCTAAGAATTGCACTTTTTTGTCTCTGAACTTTGCCCGGTGGCTCTCAGCCACTTCCTGAACTCCCTTTACAAGAAAACTGGAGAAAATAGTACCAAACTGGGGTACCAGACCATCCTTTGCCAGACCCTTGGCTGCTCATCCCTTCCCAAGAGCCCGCACCTTGGAGCGGGTGCTCCCTGCTCCTGAGGAGGTGCTGCTGGAAAACAGCAGGAGGAAAGAAAGACTAAAAGATTTTTGTTGGCTCCACCAAGTCACCTGGAGCATTTCATTCTCCAGGGATGAGAGAAGGATTATCTGTACATCTACAGGCAGTGGGATATGACCTTAAGAACTGTTACAGGCAGGAAACCTCAGCTGTGCTGCAAATGTCGGCTGGGGTCATTTAAGGAATTGTCCCAATAATCTCAGGACCTGTCACCTTTCGGCCCTGGATGATGAGAAGAGGGCACACCACCTCTTGCAGACACTCATTTGGTTGCCAGCCTTTCCCTTCTGAAAACTTTATAATTCTCCTTACAGTAATAATAAATCATTCTAATAACTTTATAACTCCTCAGAGAGCTGCTCTTTGCAACCTGCCTCCCAATACACCACTTGGCTGCCCCTCACCTCAAATAATCAGATTTTTATTTTACTGTCAAGTCCTGATTTCAGGTTAACATTTTGAAGGCATTTAGGAAGCAAGGAGCTCCTGCCAACTGCTCACACCTCCTGGTTTTACACCCTCTGAGTCTCCTCTATTGCTTCAAACCCCCTTTGAAGGTTGTTGCTCATGGTTTTCTAAGCCAACAGCACTTGGGCACTGTTCTGACAATGAACCTGTGCAGCCTTGTGCCCCCCACAGGTGCACAACTGTGATCTGCCCACGGGGTGAATCATTTCAGGGAGCAAAACCACTGGAAAAAGATCCGCTCCACGGGGGTGTCTCAGGAGGACCCACTGGTCACATCAAACTCCTCCTGAGTGAACACAGCCAAGCACAGTAGGACAGAAAACATCAAAGGAAACAAAACAACCTTTTTTTCCCTCTTCAGCAGGGTCAGATCTCTCCTGTTGGATTAGCTGATTCTTCTGGAAGAACAGGCTGCTTTCAGAGAGCCAGCCAAATTTTAATTAGCACTGCAGAGACATTTTTGATGAGCTGGGGTCTAACAGTGTAGCCAGCATATTTAAGAAGGAAGTTTGTGAAAAGCAACAGGCTGAACTCCCACTGCCCTCACCCTACTCCAGGGCAGCACACTCAGCAGCCAAAGGGAAAATCTTCCCCAGTTTCTCAACCTGCTTAGTTTATGGATACAATTAAAGTTTATTTTGGCTTTTGGTTGTCAGTTACCCACTAAAACCTAAGGATCAAGCCTGTTCATAAACTCCTGCCTAGGCCTTCCCAGGTTTGGCATGTTCCCCTACCCAAGCTGCTCCCATTCTGCTTATTGCATTAATTGATGGAGTCATCAATTTAATTTTTAAGATCCACTCAAGCACTAAGGACATCTCTAAAGTAATTCTGAACTCAGGAAAAAACACCTTTTATAATTATAGTTACCAAGCAACAGTCATTTAACATAATAAACTTAATTTGTATTTAATGTAGATAGTTAACAAGGAAAAAAAAAACAAATATCAGAAAACATACCTAGTTATGCTCTGTCTCCAAAAAAGTGCTTATTTCTCCTCAGAGTTTAGGCTCTGCTCTCCACGGGGAGCCGGATCACACCAGCATGGTTGAGGTAACTGAAGTTAAACAGCGTCACCTCAGGACAGCACGGCTGCCCCAGGGAACAGCACGCGGGGACCCTGCAGCACCCGGCCCTCAAAGGAGAGTGATAGGAATCGTCCCTCCACTCTTCCTCCTCCTGGAATTTTCCAGCTATTTAGACTACAAGGGGGAGCAAGAGTGTAAACATCAAACTCGGCGGGTTCTTGGCTCTCCTCAGTTGTATGAATGGCACTGTGCTTGCAGAGTCCCTGCATGGGTTTGTGGCATCCTCCTTCCCCTCCACAAATCAATTAATTTATCCTAAAGCCCTTGAGGTTTTCAGCAAGGAACAAGGCCCCAAGTTGCCACCTAACAATTCCATATGTCACATAGAGACGACACACCCAGCTGCAAAAATGCCTGAAATATAAAGATGAATACCAAAAAAGGCTAAAGCCAAAACAAAGCACATGCCAAGGCTCACATGAGCATGTACTCACAAAAACTCTGCCACTGTGCTGCAAAACATGACTGTGGTGCTCTGGCAACACCAGACCACAGCCTGAAGAACCCCTCTGGAAAATCTAGATGTTTTCTCCACCAACTCTTCACTGAAGGGATGGGGAAGTCTCCAAGCTCAGCAGCTGACAAATGTGAAAAGCTACATCTGCCCATGGGAGTTAAACGTTTAAAGTTTAAGGAAAGTGAAAACCGAGTGTGTCCTGCTCCTCTGAAACAGCCCCCCTCAAATCCTATAAAGAAGCAAGTACAAATTCATTGCTCACCAATTTTTAGTGCTGAGAAGAACGACCACCAGTGAGGGCGTAATTCAGATCTCCTTGTTAAATGACTGTTCCTTTCAGGTGTTGGGATAACACAAACGTGATGTTATGGTTTAAAACCTTCTAGAAGAATCCAAAAGGACGGTAATGAGTCGTCCCTGGTTGATTCCCCAGCTCTGTCCCTCCACGTGGGAGTCACAATTAGAGCAGGCTGATCAAAACTGTCCTGGAAAGGGATGGGATTCCGAGCTAACGGGGACAGAGCCCCGCTCCTGTTTGTGCCGACGTTACAAACACAAGATTCAGCCTCCTCGGATGTGGGTTAAAATACACCAGAGGTTTTTATTTCATGCTGTGATTCTCCGTGAGCTTCATACTTTGTGAAAAATGAGAGGGAGTGACCCGACGCGGCCTGGAGAGGTCTGTATCCCAGCCACCAGCTCACAGAGCAGCCAGCATCGTCTGGCAGGCGCCGGGGCAAGGCGCTCAGACACAGGCTCGCTTCCATCTGCCTGATTTCAGCCCCAGCAGGCGACTCTGCAGGCACGGCTGGCTTTCCAAAAGCAATTCTGGGAAGCAGACAGGGCCGGACATGCTGCTGGGGGGTGTTTCACAGCTCCAGGGATGCCCGGCACCTCCAGGCCTTACCTTTCCTCTCTGCTGTGCCCCCTCCTCGCCCCACTCACACTAAACCTGAGGGAAAAGCAACAACAGCGAATGTCAGCAGGCGGGAAGGAGGCCAAGGAAGGGGAGGAAGCCCAAGAAAAAGGCTTTAGAAGAGGGCGATGCCGCGGGGCGGGGCTGGCAGAGCAGCGCGGCTGAGGCAGAGCCGGGACCCCCGCC